TCAACCTTGAGCCGGTGAGATTTGAACCGCTGACCTGCTGATCTAGCAGTAGCCTGCAGTGCTGCATTTAACCACTGCGCCACCTCGGCTCTTATTGAAGGGCTTGAAAGCTCCCTTTGCCCAGAGACTCCCCCCCACCCCGCTTCCCATCCCACCACACGCCCCTCGCTTGCATTGGGCTTCTTCCCCGACAGCTGCAAGCCCCCACCCCTCTTCAAGGGCAGGCCTGGCACTGTGCTCCCCCCCTGCAGAGAGCATCTTTACCCCCCCCACCACCACCAAGACTGACTGAGAGACCGGCTGGAGTGAATGCAAAGGACCTTTTCCTAAAATACCACTTAAGGAAATAAGTCTTTGGAGGACAGGCATCACGGATTTCAAGTAAACACCAGAACAATTTATTTGAAAACCTTGGAACAAGTCAACGTAGTGTTACAGGAAAGATTTCGGGGTGTTTTTTTTCTTTTTTAAGGACTCTCTTAAAATTGGTATTATAAAATATACCAGCTGGAAGGTCTCCGTACGCAATCTGCATAGAAGACTAGGAAACGCAAACGCTTCTTCTCACGAACAGAAGTGGATGGAGTTCAGCACCTGTAGGAATAACCTGTAACCGAGACGCTTGGCCCCTGGCGCACCTGGGCTAGGGAAGCACCAAGAAGGCACCTGAGTTTGGCAGAAGGGAGGTCCCTGAGGCTGGCGCCAGAACCGGCTCTCTTTCTGCACGGGATGGAGGGCTGGCTGCACCCTAAGTGCGATGCCTATCGGCCCTCGTCTGAACACAAACTGGCTTCCTAGGAAACTTTCGGCCTGTAATTTTTGGCCAACTGCAGCTCTCCTTTCGGTTCTACTTAAGTAACATCTCCCACAGAATTCTGGCAACACTTTTTAAAAAAAAAATCTGGTCCCAAGAGGGGAATACTTTCAAACCGTTGGTCCACTTCCTGCAAGTCAAAATACTAAAAAGTTATTTTTCATAGCAACCTCCTGAAAGTCTTCAGTCGTTGGCAGATTTAAAAACAAAAAGGACAAGTTGGGGCAATTAGATAAGGCACCAAGGGTTGGATGAAATAAGCAGCTTGCTGAATGAATTCTTCAGCAGAGGCGGAACAAAAAAAGGCACCTTTGTTGTCGGTCAATATTTCCATTTTCCTCCGAGGAGCATAGGAAAGAGGAAGGAAGAACAAAAAACCCCCCGGGGTCGTTATTCCAAATAACAGATTGGCACAAAGTTATTGGCAGTGATGAAGAACTCGAAGAAAAACATGGCAGTGCTTCTTGGCTAATCTCCATTTGCTCCAAAATTAAAAATATATATATACTTGGAGTGGACACCTTGGCTCAGGCTACCCCTGAATTAAAAGTGAAAAGAATACTGTTTAGATCAGTTCAAAGAAACCCGTCCAAGAACGTTTCCGCAAAGGCTCTCCAGCTTGATAGGGACAAAAAAATGTGGTCTCGGGGGAGTTGCAGGATCCTCACAGGGCCTTCCAGTCGATCAGCTGCTTCCCGGATTTCTTCAGGAGTTCGTTCGTTTTGGAGAAATGCTTACAGCCAAAGAAACCCCTGTGCACCGAGAGGGGCGAGGGATGCGCTGTCTGCAGGACGTGGTGCCGTTTCTGCAAGAAGCCAGAGGCGTTAAGACTTCCCAGCCCCACGCGCTGGAAGAACCGGCGGGATTGAAAGGCATAGATTAAGAAGTTAGCACAGCCCGAAGTATCCCGGATTGTCCAGAATTAAGCAGAGAGATGCTATAAGCAGGCCACAATTTCTACTTCTAGTGAGTTAGAATGTGGATTGGTTTTTAAAAAAGGAATAGTTTCATTGGTTAGATTCATCCACCGTGCAAAAGTTTCATTTATTTTAATCCTCGCTTGGTAGGCAAGCTGTGTGAGCTCCCCCCCATCACGGTAAGGCGCAAAGCATGGTTAGATTCATCATTTACTGCAAGCAAACAGCATTATGGCATCACAAGTGTGATCGCTCACTTAAATCCCCTTTTAAAGTAGCATGCAGACCAGTGCTGATGTCAAAAGCCACCTACCCTGTCAATGGAGCTGCCCTTCTTCTGAGCATAAGCTCCCCACAGCATGAAGACCAGACCATCCAGGTTCTCGTTCAGCCAGGAGACCACGGCGTCCGTGAATGGCTCCCAGCCCCTCTCTCTGTGGGAATTGGCTTGATGAGCTCGGACGGTGAGCACAGCATTAAGCAGCAGCACACCTGGATTGTAAAAACAGCAACATGATGCCCTTAGTAGGAAGGCGGGAATAAAGTTGTTTTTGCTCCCAGCTGGATAATCAATGTTACTTTATATGCCTATCCAGGTTGACGGGACAGAAGGTTGGACCTAGAACTATTTTCTTATATTATATATAGGAATATTATAGTCCCCTAAGAGCCGAGGTGGCGCAGTGGTTAGGGTGCAGTACTGCAGGCCACTTCAGCTGACTGCTATCTGCAGTTCAACGGTTCTAATCTCACCGTTTCAAGGTTGACTCAGCCTTCCATCCTTCCGAGGTGGGTAAAATGAGGACCC